TGAACAATTAAGTATTTATGAAGAAAAGAGAGACATTCAGAGAGTCATTACTGTGATGAATTTCGTGCATAAACATAACAATCATTAATCAAAAGTCCCCTGGGTAAGTATAACCTCTTTAGAGCACCCATAAATTACTAGCTTGCCACCGAACACAAAAAAACTGTGAGCCGAGAGACCAATTACTTCTTCATAAACCAACAACCACAACTCGTCTTTACAGTTACTGGTCTATAGTCATTCATTAACAAGGTCCATGTCCAAACTGATCAATAGCAGAGTCCATCTCTTTACCTAGCAGCAACTGGAGAATGATACGGCCTCAAAAGCCATCAGTCTGTTTTACGCCGGTCAGCTGGTGGGAAAATGGCGTACGAGATGTCGTACCCGGAGGACACACTCAAAACAGATTTATTACAAACAACGGGCACTTCAGATGCCTCCCAGGTAAGTGGACCACCACAAATGAAAGTGTCTGATATAAATAAAGAAAGCTTAATGATATTGCTCATGTTAAAAATCGAGCTGCTCTCAGCAGAAATACAACGGCACTGAGGCTTTAAATATTTATATGGCTTCGGCAGTACGTATAAGGTCTTGGCAAGGCAGCTTGCGATTGGAGTGAGATCTACTGGTAACAAAGGGACAGCAAAGTGCCCTACCGGCTTTTTCATGTTAGCACACCATTTTCATCACACCTCACTGAATCAACACCAGGGCAAATGTCAAGGGTTTCCTCTTACTCCTCATGCGCTGACATCCGGGCTGATGCCGAGTAAATCTATTGGCATGGGGCAATTTTCAATTTGCGCTGCTTTAGTTACACTGACATGGTAAAAAAAGGTGTTAAGTTCCAGTGAAGGAGCTGAGCTTCTTTAGGATGAGTGAAATGGGAAAAAACAAATAAATCATGTTGCTACATAATCCAAAATCCATTTCTATTGAGATTTTGGTGTTTGATGTGGTGAGGGTATCAGTGGGGATATCTTCAAGTGTGATTTAGTGCACAACAAAAACAACACACTCACAAAAAACATTTTTAGTACTTAGAATATAGCAAGTAGAGTAGATTTATAATACATATACGTATACAGTATAGAATACTACAAAAAGAGAATATGGTATAGATTACTACAAAACTGACAGAAATAATAGAATACTATACAAAAACAGAACATAGTAAAGTTTACTATAAAAAAATGACAAAATATATATTGTATACTACAAATAAGGAACAGTATTTTCAACACCAAAAATACAATATAATACAAGAATGCTACAAAACAAAAACAGAGTATAGTATACAATAGTATTATACTACTACTAAACACTACAATACTACAGAAAATAGTGTAAAACAGTACAACTTAAAAAAACAGAATATAGAAAAATAGTACAAAACAGAATACTACAAAATAAAGAATTGAATAGTACACAAAAATAATAATATACTGGACTACTACTAAAAAAAACTGTATAGACTAGTAAAAAAAAATACTACAAAAATGTAGCACAGAATACTACAAAATAAAGAATTGAATAGTATAAAAAATAATAATATACTGGACTACTACTAAAAAAACCCTGTATAGACTAGTAAGAAATATTACTACTACAAAAAAACAAACAATGTAGCACAGGATAGTACAAAGACAGAATACTACAAAAGAAAAAATTGAATAGTATACAAAAAGAATAATATACTGGACTGCTACTAAAAACTGTACAGAATAGTGTAAAAAACAATGTAGCACAGAATAGTAAAAAACTGAATTCTACAAAAGAATATGGTATAGAATAGTACACAAAAACAGAATGCTATATTAGACTATAATTATTAAACAAAAACAACATGGTATAAAATCTTACAAAACACAAAATACTATTTTATTATAATAAAAACAGAATACTATATTAGACTTCTAAAACAACAATATGATATAGAATATTACAAAAACAAAATACTATTTTAGAATACTACAGAAGCAGAACATAATATAGAAGAGTAAAGCAGAATACTATATCAGAATACTACAAAAACAGAATATAGTATAGGATATTACACAAAAACAATATACTATAGACTAACATTAAAAACAGAATTATAGTAGAGTAGTACAAAAATAGAATACTAAAAAAGCAGAATATAGTATTGAATAGTACACAAAAAACAGAATGCTACACTAGACTAATACTAAAACAGAATATAGTATAAAATAGCAAAAAAATACTATTTTAGAATTCTATAAAAAACAGAGTAGTAAAAAAGATTACTACAAAAACAAACAAAACATTCTATGCATAAAAAAAATGCAATATAGTGCAACAAGCCCTGAAATGTGTTAGCAAAGGACAACTACAAAACAACAATTAGCAAAACAGCCTGCCTAATGAACATAAAAAGCAGCTACATGGATCCCTGACTG